AACATAATCGCATTTGTCATGTAAAATGGACCATAAAACATGTATCACACGACACATTCATATTGTGACCCCCGGTGACCTGACCTCGCTGTGACCTGACCTGGTATCAGTGACCTCAGATAGCAAAGTATGTGTTTGACGAACAATGTACCATCGATGGTTTTCAATAAATTATCAATTTACTCGCTTTCACAGCACATTTCTTGAATTGCCTGTGAACGGTGAAAATCTGACCTTTGACCTGACCTGTGACGTCATCGGTTTGACCTAGGTCAATGAAATTTGGTCACAAGGTAGTTCCCGGGTGGGGCTATCGAACGCCGTTTGAATTTTGAAAATCGGCCGGTAACTTTCCGAGATCTTAGGGGGGGGGCCGAAACGGCCCCCCCCCTACAGGTGGTAGGGTCCGCCGGTAGCCCTACGGGGCGCGGGTTAACCCTCGCCCTGGCAGGGGGGGGGGTCGATGCGACCCCCCCCCTAAGGTTTTTCGAAGATAGCGTAAAAACGGCGGCGCGCAGCGCCGCCAAATTTGGCACAGCCTATGGGGCAACCTTTTTACATATGACCTGAAAATTTCAGGTACGGGTGACCTTGGGTCAGGTCACCAGGTCAGAAAAACCGGTACAAGGTCATGGTCAAATTTCAATTTTCTTTATACACCTGTCCAACTCACAGTTTTCGACTGATTTCCTTCAAACTTTCAGGATGTGCTAAGTTCACCGAGTTCTATAACATGTAGTCCGGTTTTTTTGAGGTCACTGACCTGAGGTCAGTTAGAGGTCATTACGTCGTAATGCTAAGCCTATGGGAAAATACTAAATTCAGAAAATACTGGAGATATCCGCTTCGTTTTATCACTTTTGTGCTTTGAAACCACGGTACTTAACAGCAGGACACTTGGTGCTTCTTTGTTTGGTGTACTTATCCATGGGTCAGGTCAAATGAGGTCAACTGAGGTCAAATGACGTTTTTGCCAATAACTTGGCACATAATGACGCTAGAGCTTAAAAAATGGTATCATTGTGTTCCTGGTGATCAGCCGAATCAAATGATATGCGATATGATGCAATTTGGTTAATTTGAACTTAATTTATTAATTTAAGTTTACTTAAAATTTAAGAAAAACTTTAAGTACACTTAAGCAAGCTAAAAGTATATCATTCGACGCGCCTTGACGTGCTGAGTTCACTGGTGCTTTTCTTTTTGCTCTATCTTAATTAGATCAAAAGTTATAGGCGAAAAACTTTTGGCCTGTTTTTAGCGAAATTTTTACAATTATACCCCCCAAAACCCCCCTAAATATTGACCTAGAGCAACCAAATTTGCACAGGGGCGAGAACTCCGGGGGGCCCACCTACCTACCAAATTTGGTGTTTCTAGGTGCCATAGGAGCCAATCGCGAGGGGGGGGGGGTCGCATCGACCCCCCCCCCCCCTGCCAGGTCGTGTTATGAAAAATGCCCTGCCAGGGCGAGGGTTAAGGTATGGTATATTGTTCTAACTGTGTGTTGTTGTTAAAAGTGACTTATCAATGTTAAAATGTGTAAATTTTGATAGACTGACACAGACTGAAAGGGCCTTGTTCATCTGTGCACTGCTATGTATAATTGAGGATGAGTTGCGTTTTTGTATGTTTTTTAACCCGCGCCCTGCTGGGGGGGGGTGTTTGAACACCCCCCCTTGTGGTTTTTCGCAAATATCTCAAAAACGGCGGCGCGGAGCGCCGCCGTTTTTGGTACACCTTATCATACATCAATTCTACACATGTTGTGAAAATTTCAGACCAAGGTCATTCAAGGTCAGGTCACCAGGTCACTCGAAGTGACCTCACCTCATAAAAAGTTTCAATGTCTGTCATAGCTACACCGAGTGACCGATCGCTTTGAAACTTTCAGCGATTGCTAAGAGCAATAGCATGTACAAAATGCATATCTCAGAATTTTGATATCGATGACCTAAGGTCAGGTCAATTTTGCGACCTCACCATTATAAGTCAAGGGGAGAAAATTGAAATGCGCCTCTTTTGGACGAAAGACATTATAAACACTCCCAAACACTGAATTATAAGTGGTTTAGACACACTTAACATGAAAATGGTGTCTGTGACCCCTGTTTATGCCCTGAGGTCATCTTAGGTCACGAATGGTATCTAACAGTTTTTCGCAAATAACTTTTGATAGAGGCATGCTAGAGCGATGAAAACGCCTTAGATGTGTTCAGCTCGACGATACGGATCGACTGATATGCAACATGACCCTTTCCAGTCAGGTCATGACCTTGACCTGAGGTCATATTTTCAAGTTGACCTTTCAAGGTCAAGTTATAGTTCATTCGATGCGTCTTGACGAGAGGAACACGATGCCGGTAAAAGTAAGCTCGTACAATGCTTGGGTCAAAAGTTATTGCAGAAAAACTGTTTCCGAAAAAATCGGCTATTTTTGCAGTTTTTGCCCCCTGCAGGCAAAACCGTTGACGTTAGGTCAAATCTCAGCAAATTACTCAGAAAGGGCGTTAATAGGGCTATCGAATGCGCTTTTTCGCGGCGCTGTAGCTCTTTTGGTTCCCGAGTTATGCGTTGGCTTCTTGGAAATTTTCGACATTCGACCTGGAAATCGGCGAAATTTTGCCTTCAATGACCTCTGGTGACCTGACCTTTGACCTGACCAAAAAATTGACCGAAGTGATTTCCTCATTATTTTTGACGCTCTTTCGAACGCCGCCTTCCGCGTATCGCTACGTGGCCCAGGAGCCGAGTTAGAAGGGGGGGTGTTCAAACACCCCCCCCCAGCAGGGCGTGGAAATCCAGGACCCCCAGCCGGGCGCGGGTTAATAGTTTCTTTCGACAATTCAGGAATTTCTGACAATAAAAAGTGGGGTGCTACAATACTGTTCCAAAGTCGAGGACCTTGCCAGAAGGCAGTTTTTGTGCGATATAATTTTCGTGTGAATGTTTCTCGGAAGTGGTATGTAGTTCTTGTTTGGATGTTTTGGTTAGCCTGCAAACAGAAAAGAGTTTCAAGAGATGGTGGTAAAGATCCATTTAACTTTCGATGCATAATTAGAAGAAGCTGTTGTTTAGCAATATTTTTTACTTTTAGCAGGTTTAGGGCTTTGAAAATGGGATCCGAATGAGCAAGTCTAGCCCTCGCACGACCAGGCCATTTCTCATAACACGAACGACCAGGGGGGGGGGGGTTGTTACGACCCCCCCCCTGGCGTTTCGAAACGGAAGGTCGTAGAGCTTAGCGGAAAAGACCAACGGATTGCTCTCAACGAGATCTCGCGATTGGTGGTATATTTTTTGGTCCTAGGTCAACATTTGACCTACTTTTGACCGGTCAAAGGTCAAATTTTCGGAAAAATAGACTTTTTTCAACTTTCGGCGGCGATTGCGGCAAAACGGTGGGAGATATCGACATGAAACCTTCACTATCGTGTTCCTTAATCAATTCTCTATCGTTTGGTATGTATTTCGTTTCCCTAGCTCTAAAAATGGCGCGTTGGGAGCGCCGGAAGTCGGCAAGGTCACAGTCGGCGGAAGAAATTCGAAAAATCAAAATTTAAATTTTTGAAATCTGATTGTATTTTTGGATTTGGGAGGTCCATTTGCTCCCTAAAGAAGCTAATATTGCTGCATATTCCCATTGAGGTGACAAGAATTAGCAAAATAGTGGTTCGGGCGCTTTTCAAAAATAGTACCGGACGCTGTTCCTCTTGTGACGTCATAGCTCCGTGACCTGACCTGACCCGGTCAAATTTCTTATACCATATGATAGCCAATACTTGCCCCAACATGCATGGGAAGTTTCATCACGATCCATCAACCGATGTCCGTACCACCGGCAGGAAACCTCGGGCGTTGGCACTCAGTTTGTGAAAATCCGGCCGGAGGCTGTACCTCTTATGACATCATAACTCCGTGACCTGACATGACCCGATCATTTTTTTTCGGTAAAAGATGCGCAAAGGTTGCCCCAGAGGGTATTGAAAATTTCAGCCCGCTACGACAAGCCGTTTAGCGTGCACTTCGAAAAAACCTCAGGGGGGGGTTGATACAACCCCCCCCCCTAGGCGTTCTAGGGCTAGGCTGATTATCAATGATTCTGATTATACGTTTTTGAAGGATTTCAATTTTGTTTAGGTATGTTGGAAAAGTGAAGCCCCATACGACAGTGCAGTAGTTTATGTAGGGCAATACTAAGGAGTTGTAGAGCAAAAGAAGTGATTTCCTGCCCAATAAGTATTTAATTCTGTTTATGATTCCTATGTTGCGGCTTATGGCCAAAGCAAGATAATCGATATGGACTGACCACTTAACCCGCGAGTTGCTGGGGGGGGGGGGGCGTTAAATGCCGCTACTTTTTTCGCCGGGCCATAGCATAAAAACGGCGCGCCGCAGACGCGCCAAATTTTGGGTACCTGTTGTAACGAAATTCGTTCCTACCCCGTCCTCCACCTCCCTCTGTACCTACTTACTGCCCAGCCCCCTCGCCCACTTACAATATCCTTATATGGTCCTCACTCTTCACCTGCGACGCCTGTCCTTGCCCGCTTCTGATTGGTGCTATGATATGACGTACATTTGTATGTCTGACGTGTATATGTGACGTATGTGTGTGTGTGTCGTGAACTCGGCCGGTGCCGCGCGGTGTGGCACTTCGGTCTTGGAGTCGCAGCCGTGCACTTGTCTTTACTGCTCGGCGGACCAGTCTGTCTTCGGACCTTGGCAAAGTCAATTTGTTTGTTATCTTGGTTTCTGTGGCCGTGAATTGAATACAGGCCCAACTTTGTATTTACATTCTGTTTATTATTGGAATCGCGTGGTTGAACGGCAAGAACAACTACGGTCCTACAAATCTAGACTATCACAAACAAGAATTTGCTTATTAACACTTGTATTCTGTTACAAATGGTGCCGTGACCCGGATCAAATAAAAAAAAAACTCAAGAATTGAAATTGGTTCCGCAAGAAATTGCTCTACAAGTCTACGAACAGTAAGCTGTCACTCTTTCCTATCTTTTCCCTGAACGTCTTCGCCCACATTTTCACTTTCGATTGTTCCACTGTTATTGTGCCTGTGTATATTTGTGTAATTTTTGCATTGTGTGACTGTTATCTCCGCATATGTTTTCGTGTGTCAACTGAACTGTTTATTTGGCAACGCTCCATAAACACCACTTGTTTGTATTCGCTGATTGATTTGTATTTACTAGAGTTTTCAAAATGTCCGAGGCAGTCATCACCAAAGCGCTCCAAAATATTTGTCAGGAACTCCGTATTCAGGGTCTAACTCAGCACATCCGAACATTCTCCGGGGAGGGCTCCGCCAAATTCGCCCAATGGTTAAACGACATGGATCAGATATCTATTACGTGCGATTCAGAGCGTATGTGTGTTTTGGCGACCATCACTTTAAACGGATCCGCTGGTGCGTACGCTTCACGCATGCTAAAAGAAAACCCCCAAATCACGTGGTCGGAACTCCGACGGAAACTAAAGGAAAGGTATAGCGAAATGACTGATCCGTACCTGGCTTCGGAAAAATGCAGACGTCTAAAACAGAACCGTGGTGAGTCGGTACAAAATTTTGCTGAAAAGCTGCGGACAATGGCGTCGGAGGCATTCGAAAATCTCTCTGCCCCTGAGGCGCAACGCTTCCTAGTAGAAGTGTTCCAAAAAGGCGTGAGCGACGACAGCTTGGCGCGAAACTTGATCAGGAAAAGATTCACTAACCTCGATGACGCCCTCGCTTTCGCTGAAAGTGAGCAACAGGCCGACAGGACTTTCCAAGTCTGCCGCCATCACTCCCCTCCTCAGTCCGACGTCGAACCCATGGACTGCAGCGGTATTCAGTCCGCTACAGACTCTGAACTTCGGACCACTATTCAGAATCTAACCTCCCAAGTGCAGCGAATGTCTCGCGACATCCAAAAACTGAAACCGCAAAAACGTGCTCAGACCGCCCCACCGCAGGTGCGTTTCAACGTACCTCCGACTACTCCCCCACCGACTTACTTCAACGTTCCCCCGACAGCTCCCCCGCAAGTCCGCTTTGATGTTCCACCCCCGCTGATGTCGCACTATGGCAACGTACAAACTCCCCCTCAAGCCCCTCAGACTCCCAGACCGAACTACCAGTGGACTGAAGATGGATCCCCCATCTGTATCGCTTGTGGCACACCTGGACATGTACGCCGTACGTGCCGACGCAACTCCACCCGTCCTCCTCCCCAAAGTACCCAGGGAAACGCGAACGCGCGTCTCGAAAAATAGCGACCAGAAACGCGCCAAAGAAAGACGGTCCGAAACGGAAAGTTTCTACAAAGAAACATGGACCGCAAGCAGCACAAATTAAAATTAAACCTGATACGCCGATGTGCTATGTATCTCTGAGCGACCAAAAAGCCTATTCGTTAGTAGATTCAGGAGCGGACATATCCCTTATTTCACGTGAAGCTTTTGATAAAATTCAGTGCAGGAAAATCAAGGGTTTTTCTACGAGGAACTGCGTTCCTATTCGTTCTATCTCTGGCCATAGACTCACAAACTTCGGAACGGCCGTACTACAAGTCAAAATTGCAGGATTTAATCAACCGTTCAAATTCCAAATCGTAGAAGGTCTGAAAAACGACTGTATCTTAGGCAACGACTTTCTCTCCGCATTCGGTGTTCAATTGGATTTTGGACAAAAGACGATGAACCTCAACGGTAACGTCATCCCTCTGCGACCTCAACGTCTGACTTGCCAAACGACTACATCTTTGGTTCGAGTGCCTCACAAAGTTACAATTCCTGCTCAGTCGTATATAGAGATTCCTGCGTTAGTCAACCGTGTTCAATTGCTAGATCAAGATTGCATAGTTCAACCTTTGAGCAATGCACCCGTTCTAGGAGAAGAACCTGGTTTGTGTTTGGTTGAAAGTGTAGGTCACGTAGACAAAAACAAGCGTATTACAGTCGTGATAGTGAACGCCACTGGTAGGGATTATGTTTTGCCTTCACGATCGGTCATTGGCATTGCGGAAGTTTTAGAAGACCCGGAAGGATGCATATTTACAGCTAGTGAGGAAGGTGACCAGTGTAGTGAACCGTCAGATGACGTCCCCGAAAGTCAAAAAGCGCGACTGTCACATGTGTCCGAAGGTCAACGTAAAAAGATACAAGACTTCTTGGCCCAAAATGAGGATTTGTTTGCAAAAAGTGATTTGGATTTAGGTTGTACTGATTTAGTGAAAGCAACAATTGAAACTGGTGATCATCCACCAATTAAACAGCGACCTTACCGGTTGCCTTTCAGTCAGAGAAAACTTGTAGAAGAGCATATACAGAAAATGTTGCAGGCCGGCATCATTTCCCCTAGTCGTAGTCCCTGGTCTAGTCCGATTGTGATTGTAGATAAGAAGGACGGACAAAAACGGTTTTGTGTTGATTTGCGTGCTTTGAACAAAATCGTTGTCAAAAATAGTTACCCTCTTCCGCGCATAGACGACATTTTGGCTTCGCTTGAAGGTGCGAAATATTTCACTTCTTTAGATCTCCGCAGTGGGTACTGGCAGATAGCCATGGATCCCGAGTCAAAGGCCAAAACGGCATTCACTTGTTTCATGGGTCAATACGAGTTTGAAAAGTTATGTTTTGGGTATGTCAATGCACCCAGTCTGTTTTCAGAGCTTATGAATAAAGTACTGTGGGGCATTCAACACAAATTTACTATTGCGTATTTGGATGATATTTTGATTTATTCAAAAACCTTTGAGGAACATTTAGAACATATAGATGCAGTCTTTTCACGTTTGAGAGACGCTGGCTTGAAATTAAAGATGTCAAAATGTGAGTTTTTGAAACAAGAAGTAAAATACCTAGGCCATATAGTTACTCCATCTGGTATCAAACCGGATCCCGAGAAAATAAGTGCAATACAAAATCTCCGTCCTCCGACAAATGTCAAAGGCGTCAGATCATTCCTTGGTATGTGTGGATTCTACAGGCGATTCGTTCCAAATTTTGCGAGGATAGCCAAACCATTGACAGAGCTAACAAAGAAAAATCGTCGTTTTTATTGGGATGATGCATGTCAGTCTTCGTTTGAAACTCTTCGTTCAGCTTTAACAGTTGCACCAATTTTGGCATATCCTAACGTAGATAAGCCGTACAAGTTATATACTGACGCGTCACAAAACGCCATAGGTGCTGCGCTAGTCCAAGAGACTGAATTGGGTGAAAGAGTCATCCAATATTTGTCGCATCAGCTCAACGAAACCCAGCAACGCTGGCCTACTATCGAGCGAGAAGCTTATGCGATTGTATATAGTGTACAAAAGTTCCGTCCCTATTTACTCGGTTGTAAAGTTACGATTATGACGGACCACCAGCCCCTCAAGCACCTGTTCACCAGTGAAATGAAGAATGCTAGGATTCAACGTTGGGCGATTATATTAGATGAGTATGGATGTGATATACAGTATATTAGTGGACGTCAGAATGTAGTTGCAGACGCATTGTCGCGACTGGACACCTCAGGAGAGGATTGTCACACGGATATCCCAGGAAATGGATTAATGACTAGTGAGTCATTACCGTGCCATGTCGACGAATGCGTAGACACATTCGGTGTAAATAATGAATCTTCGTGTAGTGTGAATGTGATTGATTCCGATAGAGCGCCTGACGTTCAAGTAGAGACTGAAGTGAAAAGAAGTGAGTTACCTGAGGCTCCTCCCAAGGAAAAATTCAAAGAGTTTTTACAAGGACACCCCGACCTTGGTTTACTTCAGAGAGAGGATCCCGAGATCCAACAATTGATCAAAGTATTACAGGACCCAAATCATTCGAACCATGCTGTAGTGTCTCGTTATTATATTTTGGAAGACGGTCTACTATATCGAGTTTCTGATCCGTCCAAATACCCCTCATTTCCAGGTTTGCAGTTAGTTATTCCCAAGCCCCTACAGAAACTGATCATCGAAGAAATTCATTCAGGCTATTTCGGCGGACACTTAGGTATAGATAAAACGTACGACAAGATCCGTTCCCGTTATTTTTGGTCCGGTTTATATCGAGACGTTGTTCAGTATTTGAAAACATGTGTCGCCTGTAATATGAGGAAACTCAGACGCGAACGACCCCCTCTGCAAGATATGCCAATCCCAAAATTTCCTTTCGAGCAGATCGCAGTAGACACGTCCGGTCCGTACCCTGAAAGTTTCCAAGGAAACCGGTACATTATTACTGTCATCGATTTATTTTCTGGATGGCCAGAGTCGTTCGCTACCTCATCAAAAAGTGCAGAAACGGTTGCCCAAATTTTATTAGAACATATCATCCCTCGCCATGCTTGTCCTAGGATTATGATTTCAGACAATGGTACAGAGTTTTGTAACGCCGTCATAGACCAAATTACAACTTTTAGCAACATTAAGCATATCCGAACTTCCGTTTACCACCCGCAATCGAACGGCAAATGCGAAAGATATAATAGAGTTCAGAACGACATGTTAGCAAAGTTAGTGAGTAAATCTCAACGTGACTGGGACACAAAGCTTCCTTCAATCTTGTCTGCTTATCGCACCGCGAAAAACGAGACTACCAAGTATTCTCCTTTCTTCCTTCTTTACGGTCGTGACCCTGTTCTACCACTCGATAGCATTTTATCTCCAAAATATCGTTACCAAGGTGAAGATTACGTACCTACCATGCTCGAAAACATGCATTCTGCCTACAGTCATGTGCGTCACAACTTAGTACAAAGTCATGAGAGAAACAAATTTTATTACGATCGTACCGCCAAGCCAACGAAAATCAAAGTCGGTGATATGGTTTACTTCAGAAACCCTACAGAGGCGACTCAAAATGCTTCCAAACTGTCGTGCCATTGGAAACCTTTTTACCGCGTTATCAAAGCCATCAACGACGTAACCTTTGTCATTAAGAACCAGCTGTCTGGCGATGTCAAAGTAGTGAACGTTCATAATTTGAGATTCGCTGATCCAGATACCCTTTGGGAAAACGTGACTGAAGAACCCCATCATATCAACAGCAAGTACGAAAGTAAACAGAAGTCGTTTATCCCGGTTCCACTTCGTGTGCAGCCTCCACGTCAATCAAAGTTCTCATTCGCTGATACAGAAATGCATAATACCGAAACAGTCACAGATCGGTCTATTCGTGATTCAACCCCCAGTTCGATATCAACCCCTGTTGAAACTTACGCTCCAGCGAAACCGTCGCCGAGTGAACAAAATTACCCACCTTTACCTGAAGATTCTGATTCCGATGCAGATCTTGACGTGCCGTTATCCGAAATGCGAAAACGATGGAGAGAAGAAAAATCGAAAGACAATAGTTCTGACGACGAGAATATTCCTTTGTCCCAATTAGCAAAGCGCCTGAGAACGGAAAAGTTATCTGATCCATTCGAAATTGAACCTACCCCTATGAAACGACCACTCACCCGTACAGAATCAGAGTCGAACGACATGGATGCAGAAGCGCGTAGCCCTCCTTCAAAATTACAATGTGCCGACCAGGACCACGAATCGGATTCAGACGAATTGGACGCCGATGGTGTACATATTGAAAAGGAGCAAATGTGTACTAACCCACGTGTGAAAGAAGCCCTATTAGTTAAGATGCTGAAAACGCATGAGAAGTTGATGACCGACATGTTCAAACAATTAGAAAAAATGTAAAAAGGTTCCCCGGCCCACTGAGTTATTACAGGTCGGATGACAGCCGAATGTCTACAGTATTTTGTGGAACCCAGCTAGTACGATGAAGGCTGAACGGCTGTATGGTGTTATAGTGTTTATATAGAATATGGATCCCGGTTTGTATGCCGAAGACAACGTAATCGCGGTACCACGTTGTATTGTGTTTAATGATATACCGACTCTGGCTAGTATGCCACAGCCATTTATGTGTTGTTCATTTTATGTTCGGTCAGTGAACCGTTCAATTGTTCGTGTACTAACCCCATGTTTGCGAAATGTTAATAGTTGTTTGTGTGTGTTCCAGAGATGTGGGCAAGACCGTTCTTCCTGACATTCCTGTTCTATCTGACATCTCCGACAACGGCCAACGTTCTCTTCCTGCCCCGAGGCCATCTCTACGCTTCATACGACCACTGGACTCTTCACATCCCCATCGAAACCAGGACATCATGGACGTTTGTATTGAAGCTGGAGCATCATGTGAAGCTCTTTAAAAGTAAAGTCAGTAGTATATTTCCAGAGCACCGCCAACAATTGCGAAGTGACCAGGCAATTCAGCTTTTTGCTAAGTTTAACCAGAGCGTAAAAGTTATTGACATTGTAATAGATACTTGGTCAAATGTACTTGTTGATCTTTCGGAAACTAATGTTTCACTCCCCGAAGCCGTAAACTTCATTCCCCCACTTCAGGACAAAAGTGTCCATTTGTCTAACTTGAAGAAACATATTCAACAGATTCGAGTACGCAATGCTCAGCATAATAAAACTGTCGTTATCCCCGCCATCTCGGTCACAACGTGTATTGTGGTTGCGTTAGTGCTATTAACTGTTCTATACGTCCGATGTCATGTGTTTAAACCCATTATGATCCGACCCCAGAAAGTATCCGCTCAAAATCCTGCCCCTGACAGTGTTATTGTTGAAGAAACGTCAAGTGTAGCTCCAAATATCAAGCCCCGGGAAAAACTCACGGACCCAAGTCCCTCGTGCTTACAAGGGTTAAAACCGTCTCCGACCCTCGCTTCTCAGAAATCCGCAGATGCCTGATGCAAATATTTTCCAGAGGAGTTCTTTCTCCGCAGCAGAGGTACCAGTAGCGGCGCTCCCACACTCGGTCGAGCCGCCGCCGGTGCTAGTCAGCGCCACTGAGATCGGGCCGCCCCGCATCGGACACCCCACGTCCGGGCGCCCCGATAAAACTACGCTGACGCGTGGTCTGGTCAGCCCGACACCCGACGGACGACCCACAACAAGACGCGAGACGTGAG